CGAGTTCCGTTCGTCCTTGAAACAGCGGATCGACCCCCCAACTTCCCCACGTCCCCATCTCGCGCGCTCGTCGTCACCATGAAGCTCCCGGCGCAGCCGTCCGTGCCATCCATCCACGACACACACTGTGATGGCCCCGGGCTCGAGCACTCGACCATCCCCTGGCCGCGCTACCGATCCGTGAGTTGTCTCCTCAGAGGCGGCACGCGCAATTGGAGCCATGACCAGCAAGCTAATCTCCGTGCCAATTCCTTCTGCTGTTCCCCTTTTCATGCATCCCCGCGCGGCAGTTCTACTACCGCTGGCTCGCCGAAGACGGGACCAAGGACGTGCCACTTCCGCCGCGCGTCGACCTGCGCGGCAAGACGGTGCTCATCTCGGGCGCCAACAGCGGCATCGGAAAGGAGGCCGCGTACATCTGCGCCCTGTGGGGCGCCCACGTGATCATCGCCTGCCGCGACCCGCCGCCGCACGAGGACCACCCGGAGCAGGTCATCGATGAGTTTGTCGCGCGGAGCCACGGCATCATCACCAACCAGCTCGTCGAGTGGTGGAAGGTCGACTTTGCGGACCTCGCTAGCGTCAAGGCGCTCGGCGACCGCTTCATTTCCTCTGGACGCACGCTCGACCTGCTCTTCAACAATGCCGGATTGAACATGAAGAAATTCGTGAGTTGCACCGTAACGAAATCAGCCGAGCGAGATGCACTTGCTTGGTGTCAAGTGCAGACAATTTTGCTCATCCTGTTCTACATCTTTCGCTCGCGCATATAGGTCCAGACAATGGACGGATTCGAGCTTGTCAACCAGGTCAACTACCTGGCCCATGTGCTGCTCACCTACACGCTGCTACCGGCGATGAAGAATGTGAGCTGAGCTGCACGCACTCTCACGTAGCAGCGTCTCTTTTGACTGATCCTTGCAACCACCTCTGTGCCCGCCCGCCTGCCCGCATGCATGCAGGCCAAAGCTCCCCGCATCATCAACACCTCCTCGAGCTTCCACTACGGTGGCACGCTCGACTTCGCCAACTTCAACGCCGAGAAAGAGGTGAAACTCAAGAAGGGCGATGAACAAGCGGTCGTCGCCGAGATGGGCGAGTGGTACTGCGATAGCAAGCTCAAGCTCGCCATGTGGAACAAGGAGCTGCAGTCGCGCATGTCCCGCTCCGCCGAGTATAGGCACGTCATCACACATGCCATCCACCCTGGCTACGTTGCGAGCAATGTCTGGCGTGAGTGTAACCAGGCTAAACGCATCCCGGCGGGGCGCACCAGGAGACTCCTCACTTTCACAAATAATGACGCTGATTCTTTCTAAACTTTTTCTTCTCCCGTGATCCGTTACCTAGGCTCTGGCTGGCTGAAGCAGGTGCCCGGACCCATCCAATTCCTCCTCAACATCGGGCTGAAGTACCTGGCCATCGACTCGAAGCAAGGCTCCCTCGCGATGCTCTACGCGGCCCTGCTCCCGGAACGCGGTATCGAGTCGCTTACGGCACCCGCGGCAGCCCCGCCGAAGGAGGACGTGCCGGAGCGCTTCACCGAGCAGGTTGGCGGGCGCTTTTACCTGCGCACGCAGGAGCACCCGACGCGGCCTGAGATCGAGGACCGCACGGCGCGTGCGCGTCTGTGGAACCGCACCAACGAGGACATCAAGGCGGCCAAGTACGGCCTCGACTTCATCTTACCCGGTCCGTTGCCCGGCCTCAAGTGACGCCTCTGGCCGTTTTCTTGCTGCCCGTCTCTTTTCCTCCATGTCGGTATAGGTACGCATGCAGTGTTGCTCATTCGAATGCTTAATTGATAACTGTATTTCGAGCCGGAGTGTCTGCGAGGCTCTTGTATATATATATATATTCATATACATGGCTCCTAGATCCGGCTGTGCCTGGGCAAGCTTGCAACGCGCTTTGGAAGAGACCGCGAGATCGATGGGCATTCGTGGGCTCACATTTGACCCTTTTGGTCATGAACCTTTCCTAGATGCGCTGACGATGAGCGGCCCACAGATGACAACTGAGTACTTAAAAGGATCAAAGAAATTACGCGGTTGATGGCAGCGATGAGCGATGAAGAGAGCATACATGTACCAAATCGCGACACTGCTGCGAACGCGGCTCACACACATTCCATCTCCGCCCGACTCTCACCCACCTACTGGTACAGAACCACGACCACACACACCGAAAAGCACAACGCGCTTCTTTTTTGGCTGCTCATGAGATGTTATCTGCCTGTATAGCCGCTCCATCCAACAACTGGCATCCTGCATGGGAACCGAATGGCGCACAGCTCCGCTGCCTGAGTCTACTATAAGGTCGCTGCCGTCGTAAATACCCGCACATGTCGGATCGTGCACGTCGCGCCGTCGCCAGAGGAGGCTCGTCCGGCGCCTCACCCGTCGCGACGCCAGGTCCCTCCAGTGCAGCGCGTCTTCTTCCACCTGGCTCGGGAGCTTCGATACCGGGTATGAGCGTGGGCATGGCGATGGGCATGCCATTCCCAAGGGTTCTTCCTGGGACTCATCATCCGTATGTGATGCAGCCGCAGCTACACAATGGATATCCAGCCCAGTATACACCCCAGCAATTTCTGCCCATGAACGCGAATAACGCCAATGGCTTCGCGGCTGTCCAGCACCAGCAACAGCAGCAGCAGCAGACAGTACGGCCATGGCCCCTTTCCAACACTTCGGCGCCCGTACCACCGTTCCATATGATAGGAAAAGGACAAGCGCTCCACACTACCTTTCCGAGTCGCATGAAGGTGGGTGTGACGACATTGATGCAGCCGACACCCGAAGGTCCCGACCTCTACGTACCGCCTGCCCTGCCGGGTCGTCGAGGCGCGGAAGTATCCACACGCGCCGGGGTCCAGCCGCGGCGAGCGGCGGCGGCGAGGACGTACTACCATGAAGACTCGGGTGAGGACGATGACGAAGAGGAAGACGAGAGCGAGGAAGACGCCAGGAAAGGTGGCCAGGACGCCAAAGCCGGTACGCCGGCCGAGGGTGAAGCGGAGGAGGAGAGCAAGAAGAACTTTCTCGGCTTGCCGCCGCCGGGGAATAAGATCATGATCCAAGGGGTGCAACGCACACGGCACGAGTACTAGTGAGTCAAATGCAAATCTTCGAAAGAACCCTGCGCGTCAGCAGCCTGCTCATGACTGATTCTCCACTCGGTCCGCAGCAATGAGTACGACATGTCCAAGGCGGCGGATCATCGAGAGTACCTGATTCCGATCAAGATTGAGCTCGAGACGGAAGGACATCATATCAAAGATGTGTTCACTTGGAATCGGAATGGTGCGTCTTCCCAGCCCAGGCAGCTGCAAATTCCAAGCGCAAAGCCGCATGACATGCTTGCTCATAGAGAGAGTGGGGACTTGCTCGGCGCTCTTTTCATTTTTTTCGCAGAAAAACTGACAACACCGAGACAATTCGCCAAGATTTTCCTGCAAGATCTCGATCTGCCCATTGACCCGTACGCAGAGATCATCGCCAGCTCCATTGAGCAGCAGATCCAGGACGCGCACGTCGCCGACATAGAGATCGGCCCGTCGTCCGGCGGGCCGTGGGCAACAGCCGATGCAGCCATGGGCCAGAGCAGGGCGTCGCTGCCGGAAGCTGAGCGGCAGAAGGATAGCAGGCAATGGGACTGGGGGCTCAAGGAGAACTTCAAGCCCGCGTTTTGCTCACCAAACAAGCGGCGACGGCTTGATCACGCACAGCTCAATGGGCATCCACACCTCAATGGAGTTGGTGCACACGGTTTGGAGCCGATTCTTACGGACGACGGAGAGCGCCTGGATGTGGGAGAGCCTGAGGATGATTTGCGAGTCATCGTCGACGTGAGTAGATGCCGAGACGCTCTTGCGCTTCGTCTCCCGCGACACGACGCGACTGACCACACTCCTATGCGTGCTCAGTATGAAGTACAAATATTACGACATCACCTTCGAGATCGCCTCGAGTGGGACCTCTGCTCTCCGCTGACGCCGGAGCGATTCGCAGACCAAATCGGCAAAGACCTTGGTCTGTCCGGCGAAGCGCGGCCGCTGATCGCGAATGCACTGCGCGAGCAGCTGCTCAACCACAAGCGCGTCGTGATCGACATGGATCTGCTCGGGAGCGGCGCGGCGTACGATGCTGCATTGAAAGAGATCGAGGCGGCCAAGGAACAGGAAGCGGATGCAGCGCGCAGGAAGCTGGCGGGTCTCCCGCCGTTGCTGTCCATCCCTTCGCATATTCGACAGGAGATGGGCAGCTCGCGTTTTTCTACCGGTACCAGCACGCCTGTCGATGAGCCGGACACGTCTGGCACACCTGCCGACGGCGAGGATACCCCGTCAACATCAGCCATTTCGGACCTTCCGTCTGACCTCACCCGGCGCACCACCCGGCGCTTCCAATCACCCGCTTCCGCCGATGCTGAAGACCAAGAAACCGAACAGCTCATGACCCCCACTATGCGCCGGCAGCGCGCCGAGGCCGTCATCGCCGATTTGCTCAATCGCGGCCCGAGGCCGCTGCAGGGCGCGTGGCGCGACTGGATCGAGTCGAGGGACTTTGGGCCGTTGCTTGAGCTGATCACCGAGGAGGAGCTGGAGAAATTGGAGGCGGAGGCGCTAAGGGCCTCGAGGTGAGTCTTCTCCTCAGCACCTGGTCTTTCTTCTTTCTGTTAACCTGGGCTGTGGGAGCCGCTCCCTATCAACGCGCGACTGTTCTGACCTCCTTACCTCTCCGTTCCTCCAGACGCGCACGCAGGGAACAGGGCCGTGTCACAGCAGGTGGACGGGGCTACCGCTCCCGCCGATAGAAAGCAGACAGATGGGGCGTTGGAAATGCACAATCTTTCATGTAGGCGATACGTCCATGTGTTGCATACGAATATATGCACGGCAGCTCAGAGCATCGCGATTGGATTAGCACACATGTGAGGGGCAGCGGACAGCAAAGCAGAGAAGGAAGCAGCATTCACATGCTATTGCCTATGAGTGGGAAAAGTGGGGGAGTGAACATAAGAAGGTGACACCACATCAGATGAGGCGGTCGGATCGGGTCGGCTATTTCGATTGTCGGGCACGGCTGACACTATGACACTCGAAACTCGTCTAAGCGCCCACCGCGACGGCAGCGGCAGCGGGAGTGATGCCGACAGCAGCGGGGGCGGAGGCGTACGGCATATGGCCGCCATGGCGGGGATGACGGTCGAGCGAGCCGTTGGCCTTCTGCTCCTTGGCGTGCTTTGCGCTGCGTTCGTCGGCATCGCGGGCGCCGTGGAAGAGGAGGTGGTCGGACCAGAGCGGGCGGGACGCCTCGTCGCGCTCGGCGTCGCGGAAGAGGTCGGCGAGCTTGTCAGAACCGTCCTGCGGTGCGGCGCGCAGGTCGTGTACGCGACGGAGGCCGAGCGTGGACCAGACGTCGTCGAGCGCGGCGACGAGCGTGCGCACGTCGCCCGATGTGTGCCAGGGCGTCGGCGTGATGCGCAGGCGCTCAAGGCCACGCGCGACGGTTGGGAAGTTGATCGGCTGCACGTAGGCCTGGTGGACTTCAAGCAACATGTCGCTCGCGCGCTTTGCCTTCTCGGCGGAGCCGACAAGCACGGGGACGATGTGCGAAGGGTTATGCTGCAGTGGAATCCCGGCGGCGTGCAGGGCGTGCTTGAGCTCGCGCGTGCGGAGCTGCTGCACGACGCGCGATTCGTTCGCCTCCATCAGCACTTCAACGGCCGTGCGCGCGCCGGTCAGCACGTGAGGCGGCAGTGTAGTGGAAAAGATGAACTGCGGCGCGTAGGAGCGGATCAGGTCGACGAAGCGGTGCGAGCCGGCAATGTACCCGCCGACGTTGCCGAACGCCTTGCCGAGCGTGCCGCTGATGATGTCGATGCGGTCCATCAGCGTGCGCTGTGCTGGAGCAGCAGCAGTAGCGCCCGGCGTCGACAGGATCGCCTGCACGTCCCAGTCCAGATGCTCGGCGACGCCGGCGCCGCGGGGGCCATACATGCCGACGGCGTGGACCTCATCGAGGAAGGTGATGGCGCCGTACTTTTCGGCAAGCTCGACTGTCTTTTCGATAGGACCGACGGTGCCGCACATCGAGTAGACGCTCTCGAATGCGATGATCTTGGGTGTGTCGAGCGGGACGCTGGCCAGCTTGGCCTCAAGGTCGTCCATGTCGTTATGGCGGTAGATGA